TAGTACTTTGAGAATGGCCTCCATAGGCTTATATATTTGGATGTTTTATATATTGGAATGCTTAATTCCTTGGTCCCTAGATGGTGGCTTTTTTTTTTTAAGGAAAGATTAGGAGGTGCGGCCTTGTTAGAGAAAATTCAGCCTACTTGGAAGACGTGTCACTGGGGGGTGGGCTTTGAGGTTTCAAAAGCCTATACCAGGCCCAGTCTTTCTCTCCCCCTCTCTGCCTCTCCCCTATGGGCCAGAGGTAAGCTCTCAGCTATTGCTCTAGCATCATGCCTGCTTGCCAGCTGACACGCTGAACTTACCCTCTGAAAACGTTAAATAAAGCCTCAATCAAGTGCTCTCCTTTACAAGTCGCCTAGCTCACGTCGTCTCCTCGCAGCAGTAGAACAGCGGCTAAGATGCCTCCCAACAGCTACTTATTCGTCGCCTCTGCATTAATTATCGGGGCCTACACGAGATACTACAGATATGGCTCTGCACGGAATCAAACTTAATCCCCGTTTCCACGGAGCTTACAGCCTAATTCTCAATAAATGCCTGCTGATATTATTTCAAGACGCTAAGAAAGGGAACAATCCATTCACTGCTAAAAATAGTGTGGGTGGTACAGCAAGAATTTACAGTCTTTCCCTAGAACATGCTGGTTCCCAAAAGGCAGGGATTTGTAAAGTTTCATGAGAAGAAATAATGCCGTCCCGGAGGGCCAGATAACTTTCTGCCATTAATTAAACGTGAAGCAAGGGAGACGGGCTGAGTCGATGCGATGCACGAGGACCATCTTCCTGCTCCCGAAGTCTTTCCAAAGCCCTGAGAGTCACTCACTTCACCCCTCCTGGGCCTGTGTGGGGGTCCATGCACACGAATTCAGGAGCTTGAAGAGGTCAAAGGTCTTGTGTCCCCTGGAACTGGAATTATAGGTGGTTGTAAGGCCCCTGATATGGGTACGAGGAACCAAACTCAGGTCACGTGCACGCGCAGGAAGCATTCTTAACCTCTGAGCCATCTTTCCAGCTCCTCTATTACAGACTTTAAATACTGCCATTTGGAAAGATAGTGAGGATCTTGAGAAAATGAGAGCACACACCCAAGAGCGGTCATGGACTTGCCAATCTGAAAAGTTATCAGATTATTTACAAGACATTAGAACTAAAGTTCCCAGAATAATAGCACCTATGTTAAAGATTCTCCAAGGCAGAGTGATGGCCTAGAATTTTAGTAACTATGAAGAACTGGGATATTCAGGTCTGGAGCCAAATTATCTTGGGCCATCTTTACCCCTTCAGGCCTCTTTATTGTTTTTTTAACTTTTATTCTTTGTGAATTCCACATCATGTATTCTAATCCCATTTACCTCCCCATCCCCTCCAAAACCAAACAAAGGAGAGAGTGAGTAAGAGAGAGAGAAAGAGAGAGAGAGAGAGATCTTGCCATGGAAAGTGTAGTGTGTCCCATTGAGTCACACAGTGTACCCTTTAGTCCATTCATGCTCACCACGAGTCGTGGGTCTGACTTAATATCGGTGGCAGTGCCGTAGCCAGCGTCCTCAAGCCAGATCCTTGTGACGATCAAATTTAAACCCTTGTGAGGATGTATGAACGGACCTCTAAATTCCACCCACCCAGACTAAGAATGTCATCAGACAGCAGCTCAGGCCCGTATCTGAGAACTTCCCCACCTTGCTGTAACCCATCTACTGCTATTGCCATCAATTTTCTTCAACAGTGCCTTGGTTCTCTTACTATAAGGACTTTATGAAATTGCTACCACACAGGAACATGGGATTTGAGATAACCTAAATCCATGTTCCTGGGCTGTAGTCACTCACATCTTGCTCAAGAATAAACTATTGCTGCCTTTGAAGCGAGATGTGCACTTCCGCATCAACAGTATTATACAACGCCCTAACACTTCCAGGGCTTTTGAAGGGCTCGGCAGTTTTTCATTTTCTTGTATCTGCTCCAGAAAGCAATTCTCCTACTTGCCAGCTCCAGCATGCATCTCAGGAAACTTCTAGACCTTCAGGAGCAGCAGTCCAACCATCTTCAGTGTGAGACAAACATCAGTCTGCGGGAAAGACCACTGCCAAGTCTGTTTTGTTTAACAGAAATGGGTGGAGCTAAGACACTGTTCTACTATACAATCCAGGCTGGCCTCTAATTCAAGCTCCTCCCACCTCAGCCTCCCGGGTATTGGCACTGCAGGCCTGGCCGATTCTTGAAGCCCATTGCAGTTGTTTTAATGCTTAGTAGTTTATCTCACGCCGCTAGTTATCAACCTTTGTGTTAGGTGTTTCCTGTCTTCCATCTTTTCACTGGCCCCTGACTGAGAGAACATAAGAATTCTACAATTTAAGAATGTCACGATATGTTGGAGAAAATCAAGGAAGAGAAGCCAGCTACTAGCTATTTTTAGAAGGGATCACTCTGTATCCCAAGCTGGACAAAGATTTAATAATGAAATCAAACTAGAGCAATATTGCACATGGGCATGGATGTCAACACCCTTATTCGATTAAAGAACTTCTGGGGGTTATCACCTCCCCCAATTTCAAACTATACTACAGAGCAATAATAAGAACAACCACACTTTATTGGCATAAAAACAGACAGGTTGATCCAAGAAATCTAATTGAAGGCCCAGAAGTAAATCCTCACACCTATGGACACTTGATTTTGACAAAGAAGTCAAAATCATACAATGGAAAAAAAAAGAAACCATCTTTAGCCAATGGTGCTGGTCTAATTGGAAGTCAGCATGTAGAAGAATGAGAAAAGATCCGTATCTATCACTCTGCACAAAACTCAAGTCCAAGTGGATAAGAGGCCGTAACATAAATCCTGTTACACTGAACCTGATAGAAGAGATGGTGGAAGTGACTAGCTAATGACTGGCCCAGTCAGAGGAGGCCCATACTCTGGGAGGGAACTCACTCGACAGTCAGGATCCAGAGGCAGTATACCCCAGAGACCTAGGGTAGAACCAGACATGACTGGGGGGGGGACAAAAAAATCAATGAAATGATTCCTAATTATATTCTGGTATACTCATAGACTGGTGCCCCACCCAACTGTCACCAGAGGCTTTATCCAGCAACTGATGGAAACAGACACAGAGACTCAAAGCCAAGCATTAGGCAGATCTCAGAGAATTCTGCAGAAGAGGGAGATGAAGGATTTTAGGAGTCAGAGCGGTCAAGGACACTACAAGAAAACTCACGGAGTCCACTAACCTGCACTCTGAGGGGCTCACAGAGATGGAAAACACAATTAGGGAGCCTACACAGAACTGACATAGGCCCTCTGCATATATGTTACAACTGTGTAATCTGGTCTTCTTATGAGAGTCTTAACAGTATCAGCAGGGGCTATTTCTGACTCTGTTGCCTATTTTGGGGGCCTGTTCCTACCAGATTGCCTCTTCCAGTCTTAATAGAAGAGGAGGTACCTAGTTTCACAGCAGCTTGATATACCATGGCTAGCTGATATCCACGGGACACACCCTGCATCTGAAAGGAAACAGAGGAAGGGGAGTGGATGGGGGAGGGGGGATGTTGGGGGTAGAAAGCTCAGAAAACTGGAAGCAGAGGAAACTTTCCCTAGATAAAGGGATCTAAAAACAAAAAATAGATGGGGAGGGGGAAAAGAAACCACCGTCTTAGAAGATCACGCTAAGAGTGAAAGACGTTCTCCCCAAGATTAGGAACGAGGCAAGGAAGATGCTCTGAGCACTCCTCAAAACTGTACCTGAAAGTTCCAGCGAACTCAAGATAGTAGAAACTTCTGAAACAAAGCAACACGCTGGGAAAAAAGCAAAACCCCTGGAGCCACAGATGACAGAAGTGTGTGTGCAGAGATCTTCATCTATCCAAACACAAAAAATAGTATCAGCAAAAATGCTGTCATTGGTACATGAACACTGATGATGAGAGTGTAACATCATGGGATCATTTTGGGAACAGCTGGTGGTTTCATATGAAGTTAAACTTAACGTAAGAGCTAGTGACTTTTCTCCCCAGTTAATCCAGTACAAATAAATGAATAGTCCCAAGATTTGTATGTAAACGCTGTCATGAGTTTTACTTTTCATCTCATTAAAACAGAAGATGGAAAACCAAACTGTGGTAGAGCCATTCAGTGGAGTTCTCTTCAGAAATAGGAAGGAGCCCACCACTTCAGCAAGCGATAACCTGGACAAATTTCACAGCCTTATGCGGATGGAAAGCAACCATTCTGAAGGTCGTTTCCATAGCAAACACGTTTAGCAACAGAAGCAGAGTGGTTGTACGGGTGTAACAGGAAGCCCTCCGGGGTGATGGAGACAGATGATGATGTCATCACAGTGCTGCTTACAAAGGGATATTTACATTTACCAAAACAAACTACACACTTCAAATGGGAATATTCTGTTATATAGAAATTGTATGTTAGTTTTCAAAAATATTTAAAAATCTAAATTATAAATCACTTAGACTTGGTTTAAATATGATTTTCTTTAATCTGCATTATACTGGCAATTAGCTTCAAGTTTTGAAAAGCCACACAAAAACTCCTTCTGGTTCTACCAGTGTTAGATTGCTACAAATTCCCACGTAGTAGAATTAATTCAATGAGTAATTTTTTTCTTATAAAGAATTCCAGAGTTCTCTTTACCCACATGAAAAACTGATTTGGTTCTAAGAGTTACATTCATGTTTAGACATAAATCATACTAATGAGAAACATGCTTACCAACACTTAAATATAAACAGTAGGAACATAATAAGTGCACCTATCCATAAAAACACTAGGAAACGGCCCAATTTAGTAAGTAAGAGGCTAAGTGTACCCTCCTGCCTCACAGAGAGAGGTGATGGCTTTCGTTAGCACTAGGCTGTTTCCGGAGGCACCTGTAAGGACAAACGTCAGGAGAGATGAGGGGAAAGTTCTCAAGACAGTAATAAGGGTGAGAAGAGTCAAAAGCCAGAAGCAGATACTTAAAGAATACAAACAACCCAATTTAATCTGATTATTTTTATTACTGCAAAAATGGCTTTGGAGTTAGTTTATTAATGAGGTATTTTTCAAATTATCCCACCAATTCCAAAGGCAGCATTATGAGGAGAGGAAGGCAGAGAGAGAAGGAGGGAGGAGGGAGAGGCATGTGAGGAGAGAGGGTGTATGTGTGTTTCTGAGAGAGAGAAAGAGAGAGAGAGAGAGAGAGGGAGAGAGAGAGAGAGAGAGACAGAGAGAGCAGCATGTTAAAGTGTGCACTGAAATGTTCATCAGCTTCCTCTTAAGCATCAGCATCTTCTAAGGATGCCTCTACTCACTTAGACACATGGTGCTCGCTCACAAACCACCTGCGGTTCTCAGGTCCTGGCCATCCACATGATCATTTACAAACAATATGGAGAGAGCTACCAAGGTATCAGTGCCAAGACTGCAAGGCAGGTACCACCCAAACCACTCCTAAAGGACGGGACCAACAGTGTTACAGCTACCACAGGCAATGCCAAAGACATCCGCATTCCTTCCGAAATTAGTTCTAATTAAATCTTTCACAGGATCTGGCAACCATGTACCATTTCCCCTATATACTCTTCACTATTGCTAGCCTCAAAGGCTCACATATAGGTCCATCAAAACTGGCCCTGAATTGAAATCAAAAATAGAAAATCCAAATCGCGTCTTGATGCCCTGTGAGTACTAGTGAGCCGCTTCCACGTGAAAGTTGTCAAACTGCGCAAACTCGAAAGTGTGCGTTCCGATGGCAGCCCAGCCATTCCCTGAGTATTTCACAGGGACGTTTTCCCACAGGACCTTGCCGTTCAACATGCCAGAGGCGAAATAACCCTGTAGGAGAGAGAAAGGTGTTCTGTGAAAAGGTGGAAATAATCCTCAGAAGTCTATTTAAGAATGTAGCTCACATACTTAGTGGAACAAATATCTCTCTCATTCAAGACCTAGAACTATAAAATACAATTTCATGTGTTTGAGCAAAAGTCTAAAATACATCAAAATATTTTTGAAAGAATTAATAAGAAGTACCTGTCTAAACAGTTCCCAAAATACATTAAACCTCGATATTTCCTGATATTCAACCCAAAACCAAAACCCCAAAACAAGGCCATAATATTTTTATAGCATTACTATGAAGCTTCAGACAAAAGTCCACTTAAAATAACACTGCAGTTGTAAACACGGGCACTTTGACCAAGGGAGATTCCTCCAGAGTTTGCTGAACCCAATGCCTGCTGCAAACTGCTATGTGCTTAAGATCTCAATTAAGGACTGTGCACCCAATCAGAGAAGGAATTAGCTTTCCTTTTGCTCTTTTGTGCCCATGAGGAACATGTCACTACATGTTGGGCTACTCTTGGGTCAGAAGAGCAGTCGTTATGAGCTAGACAGAACCGTGGGGTGAAGTGGCGGGGGAGAAAGGAAAGTGCACAGAGGTATGATTTACTGCTAATGAGGGGAAGAAATCAAGTGTGTCTTTCTCAGAAAGTGGCCATTACATTTCCTTTACTGTCTGGCACACGGTAAATTGTAAATTTCAACCTTTATTACCTCTGCTGTAGCACACTATGAACACACACTCAAAAGCACAGCCAGCCACCTAAAATAAGCTACTTTCAAAAGAGAAAGTGCTGGAGAGTCGAGCCATTAGGCCAATGTCCAGCCCAAATCTTTCTGTCTCAAAAGTATAGTACACTGCTCTTTAATTTTATAGATGAAGACACTGAGAGTTGGGCTGAGTAAGATTCTATGTTGAAGGCTCCAGAGGAGCCAGGAAACAAATCCAAGTCACTCAGGGCCCAGTGTGAATGCACACGCCTCTGACAGTGCACAGTTGTCTTCCTCTCAAAGGCACTCCTGGACACTCCCTGCCACTTCTAGAGCAGTGACCATTAGCCCTGGGCCAAGGAACACAAATACACAAATCATATTAGACATACAGCCTGTCCCGTGGGGCCACAGTGCCTCCTGGTCCCACTCCCCAGGCTCCAGTCATCTGGTTTCCCAGATGCTCCCTAGACAAGGCTAGACCAGCCGCCTTCTGCACCAGCTATGAGGGCTACTCAGCTTGTTCTCGGCCTCATTCACATCTAAACTCAAGCATGACCCACTTGGCACAGTCTTCTCTAACTTCCATGACTAGGAAGCCAGAGCAAGGGGGCCATTTTATCACATTACCCCAAATTTCTTTATATCTATGTCTGCACTCATTTCCAAGCTCCCGACTTAGAACAAAGCTCAGCAAACCCAGGCCCCAGGCAGCCACCTCCTTCCACAGTGAACTTTGATTGGCGTGCAGGCGCACTAATCATTCACCTCCTGTCTGTCATGGCTGTCTCGTGACAACAACAGAGCTGAGTGGCTGCAGCACAGAGCACATGGACCACAAGCCCAGCTGCCTCCCATCTGGCTCTTCAGGTCAAATGCTTGCCCAGTCCTGAGTATGAAGTCCTTCATCTAGCATGACTAATCTAGAAGGTAGCTAATTCCAAACCAGAGAATGGCAGAAGTTAATTGGTGTGCCCCAAGTCTCAAAAAAAAAACACCCCATTGGTGGCAGAATTGGACTTAGAAATAGACCTTTTAGTGTTTCTCTCTTACCTACCTGGCACTATTAACAGGTCATAGGATCTAGGAGAGATCCCACCACCACTCCCTTTCCACTTACCGAACATAATATTACACCAACTCTTAGTGACTTAAACCTATAGACTAATGTAGCTTTCAACCCTCATCCGAGAAGCTTCCTTTTGCAGCAGATGGTGATTAACACATAGACTCACAACTAGGCTAGGTGTAGAGAATGCTCCAACCTACACAGGACACCTACATCACACCCATCCTCCCAGGTGATCATGGGATCATGCAGAAGAGAAGATGGGTTTATAAGGACCAGAGACAATGGGTGACCACAGGAAAACGGTTTTCGGGACACAGCAGGACATCTGGATTATGAGCTCACAGCAGTTGGGACAGCATGCATGAGCCTTGTGCAAGCTCACACCAGACAACTGCCAAGGCGGAGAGAAGAGGTGGGTATGAAGCCCCTCCTGCCCCAGGCCGAGGAGCAACTGGCAACTGACAACCACACTGAGAGGACGGTTAAGTTTTCTTAAAGCATGTGGCTCCTGGTAGATAGAACATGCTCTAAGGGATTTGGCACATACCCAAGAGGATGTGGGCAATGTAAATTGGATTTGATAGATTTAAAAAAAAAAAGGACACAAAGTCATGTGGGTAGGGAAGAAGTTAGATCTGGTAGAAGATGGGTGGTGAATATACCAAAATACATTATAGGAAATTCTCAAAAATAATTTAAGAATTAAATGCAATTAAAAAGAAATAAATGCAATTCTTCTTATAAATGCCTGTCTCCACCAATCACACCACATAAGCATTCAGGAACTATGTTTGGGATCATTCTATCAAAGAACAACGAAAACCAATTATGCCATTAAGAATGGTACGATCAAATAAACTATACCACAGCACAATTAGATCCTCAAGTCTATTAATAAAGAGCTTAAAAATCAGAATTCTCATTTTCAGTGGCTGAATGGATACCAAGAAAAACATTTTAAGTTTTTTTCAGTCTCAATTTTAATTTCTATTTACAACCGAAGTGAAGGTATGAAAGGATCACTAGGGAAGAGACACTTTCCCACACAGCATCCTTCGGGAGCACTGTCAGCCAGCACCGTGTGATCAACCAAGGATGCTGATGTTACTAGGGAGGAGACACTTTCCCACACAGCATCCTTCAGGAGCACTGTCAGCCAGCACCGCATGATCAACCAAGGATGCTGATGCTAATGCTTAGATTTCCTTTATCCCATGGTTACTCCAGTATCATCTCTAATACAGACCAGCAGGAATAAGCTTCTATGGCTTTGCTACTCTGGAGGGTTCTATTTACACTCATGGTTCAAGAACACTGAGAACTGCTAGTTCACTTGCTCACTTAACCAATTACAACTCAATTTAAAAGACAAAAACCAAGTTCAAAGAAAACAGTGCTCTAAAAAGTCAGGTTATGGGTCTCTGGCACACCACCCTGTCCCGCAGATGGAGACTTTAATGACTCCACAGCAGACTCCCTCGTTTCATTGTTTCTATCCTTCTGTTTGTTTTCTAATAGAAAATTCTAGAAAGTTGCACATTTTATCTTTACTCTCTCCTGTCCACAATACTCACCTTAATGCTTAGGCTGAGTGTATACCATCTTTTTGCTGTAATGTCAGCGTGTCCTGAAGTATATGTGATCCATCCACCTGTAACACAAAACAATCTCTCAGCTGGGCTGCTTGTACAACCTAAATCCCAGGGTCTTACAACTTTGGGAGCTTCAGAAATGGCACCTGTATGTAGTTAAGTCTGCCTTAGGGAAGCACTGTCCCTTCATTTCCACATCTGTAAGTGACTTCCAAGGAAAATCCTTCATTCAGCTACACACTACACAAGCCTGTACTGAGAGTCTATTCTACACCACAGAACATAAGTGCACTCATGGCAGAATGAATGAGATAAACTTAAAAACCACTCACGTCTGACAAAGCAGCATGTAAACCCACAGATGTTCTTATATCTGATTAGAGCAGTCCAAGACTACCAGAAACTATCAGCTAGTAGATACGCTTACATGGAAACAGCATCAGTTACAACAGAGAGAACCGAACAAGCTAGTTTTTCACTTAGGGCATTTGAATGTCTGGAAGAAACCTAGGGTTAGACATCAAGCAAGTGACTTCGAACTACAGCAGTGGGTACTGAAGATGCAGGTTGAAATTCCTAGTTCTGGCTCCACCACTAACTAGTTTGAGGGACTTTGGGATGAGCAATCCAAGTATCAATGAGGCGTCTCCTAGATGGGCCACACTATGACAACATCCTTACCACCTGTCACTCTCTGTTATTTTATTTACAGGGTTGGAACAAAGAGCAGAAAACTATAAAATAAAAAAAAATGTCACTAATGTGGTAAGCCAAGAGACTGAGAATTAAGAAGTTACCACCACAAGGCCTCATGTCACTGCAGCTGTGTGACCTAAGTGCCATCCAGTGTCAACAAGCATCTAGGCCCGCATTGGGCATTAAGAGCTGTTCTGCATAGGCCAGCGCTGCAGAGACAGATGCCAGCGAGAAGAGGCAAACTCCTTCCCAGCATTCCGTGTATTAGGGGATAGGAGTCGCCGTGCTAAGAGGCTCAGCCTGCCCCTTAATTTCCATAAGCACCAATACTTCCAGTCTTCCAGGAGGCTCCCCAGTGTGTTCTCCCTCCATCACTACCCCACCCGGGTCTCCATGAACCCACGCCCCGAACGCCCAACGCTTCCTACTGTTCCTTCTCATTGCTGAGCTGCCCTCCTCCACCCTAATAGCTGTGATTCCGAATGGCTTGGGACTTGCTGACACACGTTGAAATTCTTCCCCCTAGACACACAGGCTCCAGGTAAGTCCTGACCCGTTGAGATGTGTCATTTACCCAGGTCAGCTGTGACTCTGTAAGATCCGTTTGCGAAAATCCAGAAGAAAACTCCTGTAGCCGTCCTCACCAAAATGCCGCCTTTCGTCACCCTTCCAGCGATGAACACGCCCCCTCTCTGAGGGGTCTCTATGTAGACATCACACTGCACAGTCATGTTGGCCCTGCAGGATCAAAGAGTCGATTACCCTCTGCAGTCCTGGTACCAACCCAGCAGTAACAAGCCGCTTCATAGCAAATGTCTCCCGTCCTCAGTTGAGAGAGTAACTGGCTATGTCTGAATGGGTAGTGAGGACGGGCTTCAAGAATCCTCACTGATGGCTGTTTCAAGTTTTACATGATTAAGCGAACCGACTTTGTTGATTCTTTCAGTGGGTTGGTGGACAGCGTTTACTGGCTTTAGGCACTGGAACGGTATGCTACTTGTCTTTCTATACTAAAGCAGTTTGTCATCGTGTGGTGTGATACCGAATGAGGCACTTCCATAGCGCATAAAGCGAAGTTTCTGGTGAGTCTGAATAGAAAGATTTACCTACATTTCCATCACAGCACAGCAGGCAGCCCATGCCAGGGATGTCTTAACTACTCTGAGGCCAATGTGTAGATCTCTATCTATCAAGATTAAGGAACCAACTCCCTTAAAGATCTGACTAAATTCTGTCTCTAAAGGGACTGTCGATTTGTGGGCTGGAGTGGCCCCACCGGATGGCCCTGCCTCAGTTCCCGGCACTTAGACAGCAGCTCACAGCTGTCTGACCTCCAGTTTTCAGAGAGTCAATGCCTTCTTTTGGGCTTTGCCAGCAAAACACACACAGGGCACACAGATAGAGAGGCAAAACGCCCATATATACATCAAATAAATCTCAAAGCAATGAAGATAGTATTTTACGTTGATTCTGCATCAGGACCTCTAAGATATAACAGAGAGTTTGCTAACTCAGCAGAATGGTACCATCTGCACGGTGCCTAATTCAGTAGGTCTGAGGTGGGCCCTTGAATGAGGCTTCCCAGGTAATGTGATGATGCCGGCCCACAGATATCACTTTGAGAAGCATTTTACCCTGCATAGAATGTCTGCCTGAGGCCTATATGGATGCAGCAAAGCACTGGTTATAGGCGCACTGGTCCATGGGGCTATCAAGGGAAGGGAAAGATTCTGCCATGCAGAAACTATCAGAGGTCTTACAGTAGGCTCTCCTCTCTGTTGGTTTCCTTGAAACATCTTACCAGGGACAGCTCTTTCCCTCTGACACAGCTCTCCCACTCCAAAACATCTTCCCTGAAAACAACCCACTTTATACTCAACAACTAACAGCAAAGAGGAAGAAGAACGTGCACATCATCGATTTAGCTAAAGCAAAACTAAGGGTTCCAGGGTACCAGGGCATCTATCTGGGAAATAAGGTGCGAGGGTATGGGATCCAGAGCTGTGTGTCCTTTACATCTCACAAAGCTCCTTCTGAAGTGAATTGTTCACAGCTGAACTTTACCACATAGGGGGACAAGGGGCAGGAGGGGAGAGAAGAGAGGAGAAAGGAGAGGGAGAGAGGATGATGGAGGGAGAGAGAGAGACAGAGAGAGGGAGAGAGAGAGACAGAGAGACAGGGAGAGAGAATTTGTAGGTGTGTGTAATGAGAAAAGTAGAAGATACTACCTAAAGCGGGCAAAACAGAAAGTCAGCACCCTAAAATTCCATAACTAAATTAAAGGTGAAGGTATAAGTTTTGTCAATTGTATTTTAACTAGACAATATATATATATAAGTTGTGTGTTTAATATATATCTAAAGAAAAGTTTGAATGTTTAGGATTGCTTTTTAAGTAGCTTCCTCGACTTAGTTTAGGTGTAATTCTACTGTTTGTCCAGCAGGTGGCAACACCAGCTCAACAAATCAACTCTGGTAAACTATTCAAATCACAAGGTCTGCAAGTAAGCATTACATTATAATATATTATATTATTTGTTATATAATCAAGTCCAAGTATTCTCAATTCTTTTGTTAAAGTTAAATTTCTCTCACTAAAGTTATTATCAACCTGGAATAATCTGAGGTCATTTGAGTTCACACAACCATGACCTGCCTAGTAGGCTTCTTGACATGAGGACTACTGCAAGCTCGTCACTCAGAATGGACCCAGATCAGGTTAGGCACTGAGGGCATCTCTCTCACACACCAGTGGTAATCGCCTATAATGCTGATCGTACTGGAAGCGTCGGCAGCCCAGGTGATAGGTCGTTGATTGAGAACTTGGCGTAGTGTGAAGCGATGCTGTCCGGGGTCTTCGTTATTTATGTAGTACTCAAACACGCCGGTCTGATCAGCAAAGTTCGGAGCTTCGCTAAAAAATGGGTACTCTGTCAGAACACAACAAATCTTCTGCTTAGTGTCTCAGCGGCCGAGCATCAACCCCTTACCAGTCCCCTCCTATCTGATATCTGTGGAATATTGTGAGACACTTTCCAGTGATTTTTAAAATATAAATTATACTTAACACCAACCAAAATTTAGACCTAAAGATGTGTGTGTGCGTGCGTGCATGTGTGTGTGTGTGTGTGTGTGTGTGTGTGTGTGTGTGTGTGTGTGATATTTGGAGATGTATAGCCAAATAGCTGACCAGACGCCAGTACCAAAGCCCAAAGGCCCTTCTATGTCAAGCAGCTGAACGTTCATGCCCTGCCATCGGAATATGAGACCCAGCAGTGATTGGCACAGGCGGGAGTCTCCATGTTGGGTGGAACAAGCTGTGCTGCCCTCTACATTAGGAATGCTGGTACATCACGCTGTACATCTGTACATCTGGACAGTGGTCAATTTTGGAGGCAGATTATAGAGCTACTGAACTCAACTTTGAAGCCTTCAGACCCACCAAACACTACTGCTTCGCAAGCAAATGCTGTTGCTTGCTGGGTCCTCTAGAGATACAAGTGCAACAAGCACGCTTCTGCTTTCAGATGGTTTCCCAATGGTGCATCCTCCAAGGCTTCTCTAATCACGTCAGGGCAGACCTCCTTAAGACCCAAAGGCTAAACTCCAGCAAGCAATGAGTTGAAGCCCCTAACTCTAGCATGGGTGCCCTTAGGCACTCAGTTCCCTGGCACCGAGATACAGACACAACGTGATTTAGCCTCCACATGAAACATATAGGGATGGCCAAGGAGGTGGTACCTAGCTATCATCTTAGGTTTCACCCAAAAGAGCTTAGAATTATAACTTTCCTCCTCACAATGACTTCTGCATCTTTTTCTGGAACTGAAAAATACAACTTCACCTCAAAGAACTGGAAACATTGGCTATCTTTTAACCAGATAAGACTCAAAGGGCTAGAAGGGACATCATGACCTTGGACATCACACATCTGTCATTCATGCAGTCCGACGAGAAGACAATGCTCTGCTCTGCAGAGGATGGATGGCAGGTGACGCCAGCTTAGAGACCACTCACCAACGTTGAAATCATCCTTATAGCTTCTCGGGAAGGGCTGCGACTTGGGGGGTGGCGGGTAGCTGCCTTTGCGCCCTGTGGTGAGAGTGGTGAGCGTCACCAGCTCATCCTCCTGCAGTTCTATGGCAAAGCTGCCACCGCTGTCCAGGAGCTGAAAAAGAACACAGCCCCACGTTCACGGCCAGGTGCTAGCAACCTCACGGGCGTGGACGTGGGGACAGCTTTGAAAGAAGCAAGCTTAGACAGTCGTTCTGCTAGAGCTTCCTAAACACGTGGGGAAGACACAGCAATACCAAGGCCCTCAACACTTTCTAACGGTGTTTTTCAAGAGGGTATAGAAGACATTTTGTAGAAAAGAAGTTTCACCAGACAAGGCGAAAAGGCCAAGATGGCCTCCTCCTCCATTGCACTGCAGGCTCCTTTAAGTTCACGTTGGTTTGATTAATGCAACTCAGAGGCTTGTTTGTTTCTTCCAGAGCTTTACTAACAGACAAGAAGGCATGAAAGCTCCCAGACAGCTCAACTGGTGAACAACAGGAACCTCTCACATAGGGGCTTCAACTCATTGCTTGCTGGAGTTTAGCCCTCGGGTTTTAAGTTGCTGGAATAAGCATAGCCCTCTGGAGACATTAGAATCCCACACAACTAGCGGGGACCTGAGATTGAGCCCATTTTTCAAACTTTAATGAGTTTTTATCTACCCTGAACTAAAGGATTTAGCATTATTTCTTGGCTTTAGGGGTAAAAAGATGCAGAACCATGGACATCCAGTGCCACACTCTGGCTCAGGATTAACGCCAGATAGTATTCTTATGGGAGAAATCAGTTGCATTATACTATTTCTAGCAACTTATTATACAAGTAGAGAGTGTTCTATAGGTACTTAATCACTGATACTGACTAGCTAATTGTCAGAACATTATTATTAAAAATGCAGCAAAGTCAGTTCAATGATGTAATATGCTTGCTTGGGCCAGTTCATTCTTTGAATTTTTTCCTGAGGAACTACCAAGTACCAAACACCTCTAGACTAAAATAAGGCAGAGCCCCAATCTCAAGGTAGCCAGAGTCCTGGGGGAGTATTTAATGAGATCCGCACAGAGTCCTGCACTGGGTCAGGTGAGCAAGGCTTCAAAGAAACGGACACTTGGGCTGACGTGTCTTCAGAGATACGACGGAAGCCATTTTAGGAGTTTACTCTCTGTGAGCAGAGGCCAGCTACTGAGATCTGCCTCTGGAAGGGAAAGCTATCTTCCAGGGTCTGAGAAGACAGAGGTGGTCACATGACAGGACAATGATAGTCACGTGGGGAATGTGACCTGACGGGGAAGATTGATGATGCATTCCAAAGGACTGCAGGCACACCACCCTAGCAGCAGGACCATGGCTTGCCCTGAGACTCAGATTGGAGTCTGTTGAAGCCGTGGGCAGTTTCTGAACAATGAGGCTTAATGGAGAGCGGACACAGGCAGCAGGGAGAACAAGAAACAATGGTGAAGAAGTGAATACACAGAGGGCAGAACCGCCTACAGCCAACTGCCAAGGGGACAGACCAGGACAGAGGGAAACAATCTCAAAGGAGACCTGCATCTCTCAATTGGGCGGCCAGACAACAGTGGGCACATCTGCCAATATAAACAAGCACTTAGTACAACTACCAACACACCAGGCGTTCACATCTCAGTCAGGATTTCTGTTTAAGAACAATACGGAGAGATGTTTATCTCTACTGTCCTGGTGCCATAAAATCAACTTCATTTTTAATTCATTAATCACATTTGTCCCTTTTTACTATTGTAATGCCCCAAATGGAGGAATCAATTTTAAGACTACCCATAGAGAGTCCAGTTGTTTGAAATGAAGCCTCTCCGATGGTCCTCTAAGCTTGGTATACCACACCTGTAGCTCTTGTATTTCTCTCTGGGAAGAAAACACAAGAAAGCACACTTGAGAGATTCATCATATCCTGGAATTAGTCTCTCAAAAAGAGAGCTACGTCCAGTGTTTCACGCTGCGGAAAGAACTGTCTCAAGGTTAACACAGTAACACTTTCGGAAACAGGAAGCCAGGCTCCAGCAAGGCTCTCGTTTCCTATGGACGCCAGCCACTAAGCAAAGCAGACACCACCAGCAACAAACGTCTATGTCAAAGTACCTATACGATTGTCCTTTTCTGACTTTGTTTCAGTGGAGACACTCTGGAGAAACCCAAGGAAAATCAGCACAGCCCGAAAGACACTGACTTGCATTGTGAGGGAACCTAATCAGCCTGGATCGGTACTCAACTGGGCATGCTCAGAAGTGCTCCTGCCATCGTCTGCTTTTGAGTATGTGTTCTCTGACCTTGCGTTAAGTAGGTCTACTACTGAATCTGTCTATTGCTTTTCCTGAGTAAGCCACCACCTTAAACTGAGAGTCCTTGGGAACAGTGGGCTTTCCTCTGTGACCGTGGCCAGGGTCCCAGAAGAACACTGTCATGTTTCCTTTTATGGGAGAGAGTGCTACAGAAATAAATCTCCCTCCTCTGTTAGCTCATGGCTTTCACACCTGAGAATGCTGGCAAATGTCAAACACAGGTCTTAGTGCCTTGGCTTCCCATGAAAGAAGCTTTGTTAAACATTTAATTACTTTAAAATGTCTTTACTTATTATCACAGAATCTTACCTGGCTTTCTTCTGCCTTCTTGTGTTATTGTCATTCATATAAAATTAAACTTCTTCAAAGGTAATCATTATGTTCTAAATTTTTTCCTTCAAAGTATATAATATTATGGTAAATGCAAAAATACTAACTAAAATCTGAAGATCCAGTATGAATAATTAATAATGTCCTAAAAGTATCTTAAATTATTCTTCATATTTTCATAATTATCATTAATTATAATATTATATATTACAGTAATTTCTCTCAAGTTAGTAAATCCTGAGGACCACTTTGACAAGGGCAATAATTCTAGACATATATAAGAAAGAGACTCATCTTTCAAAAGAACTCAAGAGGAGATGCATCTCCATGCTCACAGTTGGTCCACACGGAAAGCACCAGACCCACGTGAGTTTTAACAATTTGGTAATGAAACATTTCCAGCGGCATCTTAGGGTTTCTGAGCAATAACCCACACGTAGCTGGGTTGTCTTAACATCTCTGAATGTCTTCGTCATGTGCTTTAGATAAATACGTGGGTGGCAAGAGCTTGCAATATAAAAAAAAAATAAACATGTAGCTTTTGGCTTGATTTTGGAGACAGCTGTTCAATAGCAAAAAGCCTAGATCTGTGCCTCTTTCTGAAGCCTTCCAGCTTCCTGGAGTAGGACGTTTAATCAAATACAGAATGCAGTCATTTCACTCTGCATGCTTTGTGAGCAAGCTCACCTTTGCTAGGATGCTCAATCAAATACAGAATGCAGCCATTCCACTGTCTGTGCTTTGTGAGCAAGCTCACCTTTGCTAGGAGTTAGAGAAACCACACTGCTTTTTTTATTACACTTAGTAGACGTTTTGTCTTCTTTTATATTAATAAATTTTGTTCACTTAATTTTATGAATGTATATAATGAATTCTTGTTGGGCTCCCTTTATCCTCTCTTATCCTCACCCCCAGCCCTGCTGGCTGCCTAATAATTCTATGGCATAAAAACTTATTCTATGACTTCGCTAGTAAAAAAAAAAAAAGTATACTGGCTTCTTCCATTTCAACTTTAATAAGAGGTTTTTTTTAAAAAAATGGTGACTTTTGGGTATTTTTGTTTAATTTGGCTTCATTTGTTTGTTTTTCAGTATGGAACACTCTAAGCTTTAGAGCTTGAAAATTTCTCACCAGGTGGTGGTTGCTGTATGCCTTTAATCCCAGCACTCAGAGATAGAGGCAGGCAGATCTTTGTGAGATCAAGGCCAGCCTGGTCTACAGAGTGAGTTGCAGGACAGCTGGGGCTGTCTCAAAAAAAGGGAGGGGGGAGAAAGAAAAAAATAAAAATAAAAGAGAAAAGGAAAATGAAAATCCCTTAGGCCACAGAACTGTTCTTAGACCACCAATAATAGTTTTCCTACAAAGGACTTTTTAAGTCCCCAAAGCCTTAGGCAGCTTTATCCAGTACTGGTCTCTGTTTGTTTGTGAAGGTCAGAAGCAGAAGGTCAGAAGAGGCTGGTAATGTGGCTCAGTCGGTGGCAGGCTTGCCTAGCATTCCTTACCCAGCACCCGCTGAAGCAGGTATACTGGCACAGGGCTGTAATCCCAGCACTCAGCAGGAAAAGGTGGGATGCTCAGGAGTTTGTGGTCATCCTCCACTGTGCAGTGAGGCCAGGCTAGACCAGCTATTACATAAGACTACTATTAAAAAGGGAAATGAAGGAGATACAAGACACCAGGACAGGTTTCATTTATATACAAATTCTTAGTAATTCTATAATACAAGACTTCACTTAAGAATCGATGACCTGTAATATAATACAAAATTTTAAAGATTTATTTTATTTGCTTATTTCTGTATGTCACATGTGTGACATTTGGAGGCCAGAAGAAGGCCTGAGATCCTCTGTAGCTAGAGTCATGTGTAGTTGTGAGTTATTTGACAGAGGTGCTGAAAATCCGGCTCCAATCTTTAGGGAAAGTAGCAAGCACTCTTAACCACTAGGTCATCTGTCTAACCCCAAGATAAATGTTGAAAGCAAAATGAAAGTTAAACATATGTACTTACCAAAGATCCCTTTAGCGTGAAGGTGGCCAGCTGGCTTGAGACATTATAATACGGCAGATATGGCCGTATACACATGGAGTGTTTATGACTCTGAGGGAAGAGAGTCATGTAAGTTATCCAAATAATATACACACTATATTGTGGGGGAAACTTTACATAATCAATGCTTGAAGAGTAGCAAAAGAAGCAAACATTTATAACAAATTTGAATTTAATACAATCCTAACATAACCTTAATGAGGGTGTGCCTGGCCAAAGCTTAGAATAAGGGAATGGCCCTAATGGCAAGCTAAATACATAGAAACAGATCCAAAGAACAAGAACCATAAATCGAATAAATATAACAGGTCATATAAATATGTACTGTCCTCTTTTCTTCTCTATACTCTTAAAACATCATCTAAAGTAATAATTTCACAGCATTCTATTCTCTTCCTGTTGGAAATGTGATATGCATAATAAAAATGGGAAAACATAAAAGCTAAAAGGGAATGAAAAGGCACAAGAGCATCCCTGCATCTGCGCAGGACCAAGGAAACTGAAGTCTGAAGTAGTCCTGAAGCAGTAAAGTATACGTGGTGAATTCTGAAACTATTGCTAAGATGCAACTCCCAAAAGTATAGTGAAAAGATCATTAAATGAGCAGAAAGCAGCCTCAGGAAGCACTCACTAAATGTGAAAGAAAATGGCAGAGGAGGAATACAAAATAGAAACAAAACCATGAGTGTGCAAAACAAAGATCACAAGGCAAAAATAAACTCAACTATAGCAACACTAATGCCTATCCAACAATCGAACCACAATGACAGACAAGTTTAAGAAAAGCAAGATCCAACTTTGTGCTATTGAAAAGGAGATAAGGTTTACATTCAAAGAAACAGGCTGAAAACAATGATTAAGGGAAATAAATACACTAACATATACCACCAAAAAAAGTAGCAATGAGAAAAAATCAACTTTAAAACAAAAGAAAAAATAAAAACAGTGAGAAAAATTAATGCCAGAAGTCAATACATTAAAATATCTGAAATAACACCAAGAAAATCTCAAAATAATAGAAAACAAAAACTAACAGAAGAGAGACTTGTAGACAGTTCTACAAGGTTGAGAGTTTACTTGTCACAATTCACAGTGGAGAAATGAACACAAACAACCAAACAGATCTAAGAAAGAGTTGTGTGGAATTCCATAGGCAACAAGGCACCTAGTCTACTCCAGTGCAGTGTTCGGCATGGCCCAAGGGCAAGGCATCGGCTGCAGCTCCTCTCGGGAACACCGGGAAGTATGCTCTCCAATCAGAATGGGATGAGATGAAGCATCAACAATGAAAGTTGCAAATTTCACAGAAACACAAATATAAAGATACCTTGGTACTGAGCAATGAAGTCGAGAAATAAATCACAAGAACAATAAAAAACATATACTTTGTGATCAAAAATGTTAAAACGGAACAGAAAAGGGATAAAGTACACTAACGTACCGCCTACAGAGGAAGTGAAGCCGACTCATGTTTATATATTTGAGGTTCAAAGGAATAACCTTGACTTCTTTAAGAAGCTGGACAGTTTTCAGAAGAACAAACCAAATCCACGGAGGGGCGGGGGGGAATGAAGACAATAAATACTGGTGTGAAATACTGAAACACAGAAAACAAACAAAGATAATATTATTCCCTTGAAAAGATAAATAAACCTTTAGAAGACCAACCAAGAAGAAAGAGACGTGACTTGGGTGACTAAGGCTAGAACTGAAAGAGGAACATTGGGAACATTCCTACCAGCTTTATCCGAGTAGAACAGGAACTGAACACAGGCTTCTGTGCTAAACAACACAGATCAGAAGGACGGAAAAGACAGAAAAACAGAAAATCCCAACGCTTCTGAAAACATAGCATCTGAACAGACACAGTGAGTAAAAAGATCCTTAAACTCATGAAGAAAAATCCTGGGGTCAGATGACATCATATATGAATTCTGTCAAACATTTGAAGAGCACCAGACCTTCAGAAATTCCCCAGAAACATTCCCAAATCACTCCATGGGGTTAGGAACTATTCCCCTACCAGAGCCAACGAGGCATCACGAGGGGAGGAAATTCTAAGGGATCTAGGAAGCTGAATCCAACACAGAATACAAAGGCTACCGTATGACGTCAGATGATGATCTCGGGCATGCATGGGTGGTTCCACACACAGAAGTCAGTCAGGACAACGTAGCCCATGATCAGCGTGCATAACAGGCAAAAGCAGCGCAAGCGTCCATGCGGTGAAACCAGAACTCTGACTAAGGATTCAACGTGCTCCCTACAAAAGGCAAGATCCTCAACCTGAAGTTTTACACACTGACGCCACACCAGCAGCTAAGAGCACACTCCGCAGTGGTTTTCTCTAGATCAGCAGAAGGGCAGGATAACTGGGCAAACAAAGGAAACACAAGGTTTCTAGGATGATACGGGGAGGACTACCAGGAAGACTAAAAGGATCTTACTTACTTGATGTGCTCATTTAAACAAAATCCTCTAGTAATCCACAGAAAGAACTGGTTGAAAGGACAAGATCAATACATAAGAATCAATTGCATTTCTACACATGAGAAATGAACACTCTGAAAATAAAATTGAGACAACCTATTTATTGTAGGATCTGAAAGAATAAAACACCCAGCAATATTAATAATAAACAAATCAATAAAAATTTAATAATTTAATAAATAAGTTTACTAAATTAATAAAAAGAAATATGACTTCCACAATGAAAAAGACAACATATCATAGAGAAATTAAGTAAGACATAATGCACAGAAAGACCCCCACATTTGTTGACTAGCAGGGTAGAATGCTAATGCTTCCCCATATTCATATACAGAGTAAGTAAAGTATCAATCTTAGGCTGCCTGCTTGCAATAACTAATGAGCTAGTCCTAAAACTCATGCTGAAATTCAAAGTACCCAAAATAACCAAACTTGAAATTGATCAAAGCTAAACTCGCCCATCAAACTCTCACTCAGAAGTATAGGAATTAAGATGCAATGGTAGCCACTAAAGCACAAGTACAGAAAAAAATCCAAATTTGTTACAGATTGCTTTTCAGCACGTATGCAAAATAGTCCAAGTGGAAAAATAGACTGTTCACAACATGGTGGAAGACCAACTAGGCGTGTGTATACAAGCATACATACACACACACACACACTCAGGAAGAAGCTGAACAAACGTTAAGCACCTCAAGAAATAACAGGATCAGAAACCTAAATGTAAGACTTAAAATAACAGCAATCTTACCAAAAAATACACAAGTTTAGAACATTTTTACTTCAGAGAATGCCATTAGAAAGAGAGAGACAGGTTGGGCCTAGCGACGCCAGCATTTGGGATATTGACACAGCAGGACTATGTGAGATTAGCCTGACCTACCCTGAGTATGCTATAATGATGGGAGCAAATACACAGAAGCCACATGCGTCTTCTGAGGGGTGATAGATAGATTAGATGAAGAACTCTTACAATTCAAGACGAAAAATAAAAAATACTCTTAACTTAAATGGCCAGTGTAGATTTAAATAGACATTTCTCCAGTGAGAGCATATGAAAAATACAGTCAGGATCATTAGTCATGAGGCAAAGGTAAATAAAATTACAATGACACCACCTCACATCCTTGAGAATGATCATACGCAAAGAGATGGACAATAATTACTAGAGAGGACGTGGTGATACTGGAAGCCTTAGGAACTGCTGATAGCAAGGAGAAATGGCATGGGCAAATGGCAATCTTCACCCCATTAAAGTTACTGTTTAACTTGGCAGGCCAGCTCCTAGCTACAACCCCAAAGGGACTAACACACGCGGTCCCAGGAAACCTTCCATAGGAGTGTTAACCACAGTTTTTATAAAAAGCCAGGGTGAGGGTCAAGGCCAGCTATCCCAATATATCTTTAAGGATAAGGAAGTCTTAGAAACAACATGAGGAGCAGGGTAACCATCAGGCGCTTTCCCCCCTCCTTTCTCCCAGGGAACCAGTGGTAAGACTCTTAGAGAAGTGCCCTCTATGCCCGGGAGAATGCAATGCCCTTCTTGTCTCTGAAGACCAAGTTTCTGGTAAAGTATGAGGTGCCCACTAGCTGTGCCCAACAACAAACCGTTACCATGGTTTCGATGATGATGGTGAGGTTCCCTAAGCCATCCGTCAGAGCTACATAACTTCCTCCCTTCTCTAGATGGCCAACTGTCTTCAGGTAATACCAGCCTGGCTGAGTAAACTGAGTTGTATGAGCTGTAGAGAAAGAGAAGAAGATGCAAATGAGACGGCTTTGAAAGAAAATAGTCTACCGACTAGCGTCTGATTCTAACCAGCTACATTCCATTTTAAGAAATTATCTCCCAACTTCATGCTTCCATTTTTAAATACTTCAGCAGAAAGGCAGAAGGACTTTCTGAATGACTGATGAGATTAAATGAACCTGGAAATTCAAGAATAGTAGTTGTGCATTCCCATTCCCAGAGTACACAACTAAGTGACTCTTGCCTAGTCTTGATCATCCATACTTGTTCCATTCTAACAGAACAGGGAAGAATTAAAAGAATGTTTTTAAAGGAACTTTTAAAAAGTTAAAAAATGTATATCAGAACTATTTTATGGTTTGGTGTTAAACAGATTTGTTTCTAAGTTCCTAAGTATTATCACCTCTGAATCTGGTCCTGAAAATAAACTAAGCAATATTCCATGTTCCTACCAATGCCCCAAAGTCAGAAATTTAGGAGAGGGTTACTTCTCCTAAGTAAGTGAAACAATGCCAACAACTAAGAGGCTATCCAACCAACACACAGAAGTCTTGCTTAATTTTTTCACTGTTTTGAAGAGCTACGTAAGGAATTTAAACTAATGCCAGGATTACAATCAGAAAATAACACACAAAAAAGAAAATCATCAAAATGTGGATTTAAATTAAAGCAAGTTGACTTAGAATTATCTTTCTTTGGAAGAAATTGGTTTTTTTTTTAAGACTATGGTATAATTTTGACACTCAATAAATTAAATGTTAAATATTTTACTAAAATACTAAAAATGTTCATTATTGTTTTTTATCTTATTTATGAGATTATTAGCTATTAGTATGGTTATGTTCCTTTGAATGTGACTGATACTGAAGAAGACCTGGATTTCACTGGAAGTATGTAGCTTTAGCAGCCCTGTTTTTGAGCCATGTAAACTATTGGTGCGGGAGAATTATCTGTATTCTGTCAATCATGTATTTTAATAAAACGCTGATTGGCCAGGCAGGAAGTATAGGCGGGTCAACCAGACAGGAAGTAGAGGCGGAGTAATGAGAACAGGAGAATTCTGGGAAGCAGAGAAGTTCCTCTGCCACTCCTGCGCAGATCACGGAAGAGGCAGCATGTAACATGCCCAGCTGAGAAAGGTACGGAGCCATTATGGCTAACATAGATGAGAATAATGGGTTAATATAAGTTATAAGAGTTAACAAGAAGCCTGACCTAATGGACCAATCAGTTTATAACCTTATAGAGATCTCTGTGTGATTGATTTTCTCTTTGGGGCATGTCGGCGTGGGGTACCGGGCGGGACAGATACCCCAACAAGCCAGCCCTCTCATGTTACAAACTATGTCAAGTCTAGAAGATATTTTAATTGATTTCCTCCCAGTTGTGAGAAACTCATCTTGTCTCCACTTATAATTGATCTCAAGTTGCTTTGCCTTGATGACTTTTCCTCTATGCTGATTCTAGCATTTACCTGGTTTCTTCCTTTCATATGAGAAACACAAAATCTTCAGTGTATGACCATTTTTAATCTATATGAGAGTCATAATTTTATCTTTTATAAAACTCATTGTTGTGGAATAATCCTTTTCTATACTGTAAATACTTGTCACTTGAACAGGTTTAATAAAAAGCTGACTGGCAGAAAGTATAGGTAGGACAACCAAACTAAGGATGCTGGAATGAAGAAGGATAGAGCCGAGGAGATGCCAGCAGGGGGAGCAGGGTATATAAAAAATGAGATAACAAGTCATGAGCCACATGGTAGAGGGTAGATTAAAAAAAAAATGTGGCTTAATTTAAAATGTAAGAGATAGCTAGTAAAAAGCCTGAGCCATCGGCCGAGCATTTGTAACTAATAAGACTATCTTGTGGTTGTTTGGGAAGAAGTGGCTACTGGGATGGGAAAACTCTACCTATAGTTCATATCTTCAAACACTTAGTATGTTTAGGGACCATTGTAAAGTCATACTATTTTACATAACATGTATATTTCTTTTGATTAATGATTATAATTGTATTAGTATCAAAATTAATATACTATATTCACTCACTTTAGTGCAATCAATAAAATGGAACTAATATAAAAGAATAACCCCCAAACTCCTAGACATGCTGAGCTTAGCTGACTATTTCTAACTATATTCATTCCATCAGTTATAACCATGATTTGGGAGCATAAACTTACATGATTACCTCTGTCTCCAACAATGGACATCCCCTTTTTCTATGACGCTATCTGTCCCCTCTCTATTCTCCCTTTATAAGGGCCTGATCTTAGAATAGCCAAGTATAAAATACAGAAGACAGTCAGGTTATCCAAAATAGTCTTATGAAACACTGGCTTAACTCCCTTAAAAGAGTCAAACACTTCAAGCATGGACAGTTTGATAACCACCTTTGGTGCTTTCTGGTTTGTCTCACAAAAAGAACCTGCGGAGAGAGAGGTGGAATCTAGACAGCCATACCTGATATCCAGATAGGAGCTTCCACTACATAATGCCCACTCCACGGCTCCTGGGCGGTCATCAAGCCACTTCGCCCATAAGGCAATTCCTCATAGTAACTAGCCACCAAATTCCAAGCAATTGTGCTAAAACATTAAGTTGGAAAAGAAGAAACACCAAAGTGCTATGTAATATAAATATTTAACCAACTGGAGTAAAAATCTCAGAATGATATGTAAGTGAACATAAACTTTTAAGTACCCCAAACAAAATATATGACGTCTCGGTTCACTCTCATCTTGAAAAATTCAGCGCAGTGCACAGCCAAGCATTTGAACAGTGAATCAGAGAATTAAAAGTAACACACATGTCTATATTCTTGAAAACACACATATGTATTCATGTAAAACACATGCATACACATTTACACACACACACACACACATTCATATGCAAGAATTCAGCCTAACCTGACATGTCGAAAATGTGAAAGCAGTACATGTAAGAGCTTATCTCTAACTGCTCTCCATGGACAGCCTTCCTAGTACCCCAACTTCACAAGGTGATTTCCACCAACTTGACTTGGAACTGCTGCAGTGTGAAAACAAGAACTCCCAGACCGGGTTCAAATCAGGACTCCACAGCCTCACCTCTGCTGACCGCTGTTCCCTCCCCTGTGGACTGAAGATGATGACTGCACCTGGATCACCAGGTGGCTGGGAGGATTAACTGTATTGACACAACCCCAGCCTCTATCCTTCCTCCTTCCGCTAAAGTACCAACTCAAACAGCTTGCTGGCCTGTTTGGGGCCCTTTCTTTAAGGTGAGAGACACTAACAGTTTACAGCACATACTAGCTCCAGGAGCACAGCCCTACGGCTCTCAGAAAATTCAAGCATAAAACATTATGGGTTCCTTACAGCTGAAGTACTAACAGCACCCACCCAAGGACTCCACTTCCCTGACCAAGCGCTCTCCCCCAAGACACAAAGCTACTCTGGCATGCTTAGAAAATCTAAACCTTCTCATTACCTCAACATAAAGCAAAAATAATAATGCTAATAAAACACACACACTATCAGTGGAGAGCATCATAAGAGTTCTCATGATCTGGGTCACACATGACTGGCATCCTCTGTTTTGTTCCAGGTGTTTCCCAAACTTGGGCATCAACAGAACTGCCCTAAGTACTGAGCAGATGTACGGGTTCCAGGACCCTGGAGGTGAATAGCTGCTTAGGAGCCAGTATAACAAGCATTGCAGGATGTCTTCAGACAGGGCATACTTAGGAAATACTTGTTTATGTGATGGAATGTATGGACGTCTGATAAGTATCTGGAAGTGGTGGTGTATGCCTATAACTTCAGCACCAGGAGGCTGAGCGAGAGTAGAGAGAGTTCAAGGCCAGCCTAAGCAACAGAGGAAGACCTTGTCTCAAAAACAAGACAAAACAAAAAATATGAGAAGTAAAAACATATTTAACATGAGAAAAACATTACAATACCCTGTTAAGTAAGAGGCGGCTTGTTCAGCAGACCATACACCAAGGTGTCAATATATTAATTAAAAGTCTATAGAAATAAGGGGATGTTTTAAGGACCATTATTTCAAGATGGCAACGTTAAAGGCAGCTTTGTCCCACTTGGTACTTATCTTCATTTTCTCAATGTCTGCAAAGAACATGCATCAGCTTAATACTGAACAAGCGGCCACGAAAGTATGCATATTGGTTGGCTTTTATTAGACTCACAATTATCTTATAAGGCTGACTGACATCTAATTACTCCTCAGCTGTCGTCAAATCATTTAGGAAATGTTCCCTTGAAGGATAAAAGGGATTGTGTTGTCTTTACAAACTTGGTTTTGTGAAGAATTAGATAAAGAGGTCCCATAAGGACTCAGCTACTCAGAGTGAACGTGGGTACCAACGAAAGGCTACTACCTTGGTTTTTGTTTGTTTGTTTGTTTTAAAGGTAGCTATGAAAAGAATCTGAGCTAATAATTCCACATTAAAAGAGGCAGGGACCAAAACTGCTAAATGGAATACACAGACCTGTGCTATATCTTCTTTAAAACAAATAAAAGTTACAAATGACATTTTAAAAATATGAATAAAGACTAAGAATTAGAAATATTTTATATGCTCATATTTATGAAAATAAGATATTTATATTATTTAAGAATAATATATGTGAGAAAATATCCTAATGCTCTGGAAAACACACTAAAATATGATGGTATGATATGACACAAAGTAATTTAAAATATATGCAAATTTTCAAAGATCATTGCACTGCCTGAGTAGACTGTACCTCAATGAAACCAACGTTACTTAATACAGACTCTTCTCAAACACAAATTGTCACATTCATGCAGAAAAGAAGGCATAAATTAGACAAATATTAGGCATATGTAGATTAAGTCAATAAAGCATATATTAAAAACCATTGAATCTAGAGCATGAAATTACAGAGATCCATTATACTTTTCTACTTATTGTATTTTATAAAATACATTATAATAATAAATACAATATAATAAAAGACTACAAATAACTTACGAGGTCATATTGCCATTGATATAGTTCTGATTCAATATGCGACCCCAGCAGCCTGCACCAACATCATTATTGATGGTGCTAAAATCTTCCGACGACCAGAGCTTCTTCCCTGTCATCCTTGCATTCCACGCTGTCCGGGTCCCAGGGTAATGAGCTCTAAAAGAGAAGGGGAGCAGTGGGAAGCAGTCAGAAGGTACCACTTCTATACGGGAGATGAGGGAACGAAATACACATCTTCGCCAAGGTCTGCTATTTTAAAGCAGTCAATCATCTTCCAGAAGAAAGATAAAAGATGGGAAGGAGGCATCTGCTTCCCACTCTCCCATTACGGGCACTCTCCAAATGACAGCAGGTAGATAGAAAGGCAGAACCTTCAACCATGCACAGAATGAAATGACAATATTCAGAAAACCTTAAATGGATGGAAGTAAGTTGGCTGACGATGGTTAAAGTGGCCACAATCTGGACCACTACAAGTGGAGAACAAAGTAAAGAAATATTTGCCCTTTCCAGGGGAAGCTGGGGAGCTTTGGACAGGAGGAAAACACCCAGGAAGAGGCCAAGCAAGGTGAGTGAGTCTATTCTTTTTTTTCTCTTGGTTTTTTTGAGACAGGGTTTTTCTGTAGCTTTGGAGCCTGTCCTGGAACTAGCTCTTGTAGACTAGGCTGGCCTCGAACTCACAGAGATCCACCTGCCTCTGCCTCCCGAGTGCTGGGATTAAAGGCATGCACCACTACTGCCCAACTTGAGTGAGTCTATTCTACCTAAGAAGAAGCAACCTCTCCTATATTCCTGTCCTTTGGAGACAGAAATCTAGGCATTTACTCCAAGGTAAAGCACTGAAACAAATCCACAAAGGCTGCACCTATAATAGTGCGTCACTAATTCTTGTGTGAAAAGAATGAACTATGCTGAGAAAATTAAGTTATTGTCTCAAAGCGATAGTTATCCTCAGCCATGGGGATTCAGTCCTGAAGGGCCAAGGCAGCAATAGTGGGACACTTTGTCAACTGTCCCTGCTGAAGCAGGAAAGGTTTAACAGCTGAACTTAGTAAGCAGGATCCACAAATGCCACTACACAGCCTGCAAGACAGAGGACAGGTTCCAACGACAAAGAAGTGCCTAGGGAAGAAATCAAAAGTGCAGCAACTGAGGATCTGTCCCAGAAGACCAGGCCCTTTCATTCTAGCATGGGAATAGACTCAGTCTGGTAAAGTATAAATATATACCGATTGTTGGAAGGATAAAATACTGCTCTCATGACAGCTATAGACACTACCGATTAAATGAGTCAATATGACTAAGATATTAAACAAAAATTAGAAACTAGATTGATAGGTGATACACTAATAAGAGTACATTTGCTAAACTTCAGAGTAAGAGTAGAAACTTTCCAGGTTAATTATTCACAAACAAGCAGAATAAATATAAAGCAGAATAATGGAGATTTAATATATAACAATTCTAATCTTTGTACTTTCTAGGGTAGTACAACACCAAAAAAATGACTTTAAAGGCTTTCTAATCAATATCATCTTAGGTCAGGTCATTTTAGCAGAAAGCCCTAAATCTTGGGAATCATTTGGATCAGGTGAGTTGAGGCATAGCATGAATGGCAGGATGAACTGAATCGCAGGCTGCATATAACAGAGCGCCAACAAAGATGCTGGAGAGAAGTGAGGCTCCAACAGGATCATGTCAAGCGGCTCAACACAGCTGAGTCAGGCTGCAGGTCAACCTGACGAACACCCAAGAGCATCTCAGCTCCCTCTAGGTCTAAGAAATTATGGACTTACCTTATTACGCCACACTTTAAAAAAATCAAACTGCTAATTCAAACTACTAATGACTGCAAGCTTATAATTCTAACATATTCTTACGTCTCATTTTTATATCTATATATAGATAGATAGAGATAAAGGTTTCCAATCTGCCTGGGTTCTTTATAGTTTTATATCTCATTTTAGATCTAGTTAATAATAATCCTGAACAATTGGTAATTAATCTAAGTTTCTGATCCCCTGGGACGGGGTGGCTGGGAACTGAAAGCACAGCCTCCAGGGACAAGTGCCTCCCACTTCTGACACACCTAAATTAGATCAGTCACATTCCCGGTGAACCGCAGTCGCATGTGACTGGTGGCTATTGAATCAGACAAGGCAAGCCTAAGGCCTTGACAAGTTCAACAACAGGTAACAAACAATCCCTTCAGGAATGGCAGAGGCTTGTTATGAATGAGATACCAGAACAGAATACAAACTAAATAGGGGGGCCATGTTTACAGTGATGTATAGTACCCAGAAGCATTAGGAGGATGGGGCCCAGCAGAAACATCCCGGGAGGAATGAATATCTCAGAAGACCAAAACCTAGAAACAACACAAATAACCACTGAGGAAGGATTTAAGAGCCACAAAATTGCTCAGCCAAGTAAGCGTTCTAGGCCCTTCTGACCTTGGGAAGGCTTTCTAGAGCACAGACTATCAGCATGACATCATATTAGGTAGGTACGATGACGCAAGCCTGCAATCACATCTCTTAGGCAGAAGTCACAAGGGTTATTTAACATCAGCCCTGGCCAGAGAAAACAACAGAAAAGAACACCCCCATTAAATATCTTTCCTTCTCACCCGGAATCTGTAATGAACAATCGATAATAACATCTTACGTGGTCAACAATGCAATTATACAAATAGCTTGTTGAAATCTTGAGACCTGCCTGCATCTGCCTTCTAAATACTGGGATTAAAGGTGTGCATAATTTTATAAGTTATAAAATAAGTATAGAAGTGACCTGAAAGGTTAGCAGTTCAAAGTTCATACAAAGTTCAGAGAAACATTGAAGAGAACTATGTTTCCCTGGTTTACTAATGGCATGCATGTCTAACTAATGGACAAACATTAAAGACAGAACTACTTTTTTCATGATTTTTTTTGCTGGTAAAGCTTTTAAGCTAAAAAGATGAGAACTGCTTTATTTATTTTCCTTCCTGATCAATTTCTAAGTGTTCAACTGAGGGGAAAGCTATGCTCCTCTATGAAATGCCATCATAATGAAATTTTATGTTCTTTGCTGTTAGAGGTCAGGATAATGGCTACAATTTGAGGTAAATGCATAGAAACGTTTCCAACCTGCCTGGGTACTTTACAGTTTTCTGGGTGACAGGCCCATATGTATGCACACTCTGTGGTAATTCATTAGCTTGCCTAGCATGGAAAATAACAATCCCAGATACAATTAGATCCTCATCACCTCTGTTTGAAAAAACAAACAACAAAACCCAAAGAAAATAGGGAAGAGCACAGGAGCATAGAGCAGTTCCTCAGTTTCAGCACAACCAGAATCGTGGGCTGGTTATAAACATGGGGGAGCTGAGCTGTGTACCCTGGAATTTCTGCAGACACTTCCCGCATCTACCCATAAGATGCTAACAACAGGTCTTTATCTAAGATATTTACAAACACTCCCAGACGTTGCCAAATGTTTCCTTGGAGATAAAATGATTCCCATCTGAAACACCCAGTATCAAACTATGAATCAGAATGGCTGAGACATGCAGAAACAAAAGCAAGTCTTGCGAAGTAGGAAGACACCTCCTTAAGCAAGAACCAAGAAGACAAACACCACAGCAGCAGAGTTTGCCTTACTGGAATCATAGGACACATCATTAAATAACAGAAAATATCTGCAACGTGGAAAACACAAACATTAGTTACACCAAAAATTGTAAATGTGGACTGGAGAGATGGTTCAGTGGTCAATAGAGCTTGCTGCAAATCCAGTTCCCAAACACCCATAACAGACAATGTACAAACTCCTATAACTCCAGCTCCAGAGGATTCAAGATCCTCTTCTGGTCTCCAAGGGAAAATAAACACACACACACACACACACACACACACATACACACAGAGAGAGAGAGAGAGAGAGAGAGAGAGAGAGAGAGAGACAGACAGACAGACAGACAGAAACAGAGACAGAGATTTAAAAAGAAAAGAAATATTAAGACATTTTTCAGAGCAGTATTAGAGACCAATATTTAATTCAATACAAGAAATGTATCTAAAATAAAATTACCTTGAAAATAAAAAAATGTAAAGTTAACAAAAACTGAAAGCAGGATTTCTTTTAATCTCATATAAAGAAGAATTCAGCTCAAGAAATACTGAATAAGTTACAGAATGACATTTTCTATCAGTAGTTACAACGCACAAAAAGATAAAACATCCATTATCTATGAGCCAAGTAACATGGCACCAACTCTCATGCAAACAACCGTGTAAGACTGAAACAGTCAGCACTGTGCTAGGAAGAGAAAATGTACATAGCAGCTCCACACAGCTCACGTCAACAATGTAATTAGTATACAGAGAATTTAAACTATATCAGTGAATTTATATACTCAACCAATCTGTTTTCTGTTAGCAAATACATCTTAAGTCAAAAAGCAATTTTTTAGAAAAAGCATTTAAATAATACATTTACCATTATATGAGCACAGTCAATAAAACATTAAATTAATGAGAACAAAAGAAACTATGAAGTAATGCTATCGCTCAGAGGAAAACTAATTGCACTACAATACCTATATGACTAATGAGCAGTGAAACTCCACACTTCTTCGTGAAGTACAACAGAAACTATCCTTCACTTCCGACAGCCTTGCTAGCCAAACACGTTCAAGAAAAACAGTCTTTCCTCCTTCAGATCTGAGCTGTTCAAGTGGATTCTAAGGCAAAATCTTCCATTTAAAAAAAAGTTTAACTATAAATGTACAATTACACTTTCTCTTGCAAAAAAATCCCATATCTAATTTACTCTCATCAATTTTCCAGAAAAACAGGATAGACATGTGTATTAAAGTACAAGGACGAAACTGTTAAAATATAGACTACAAAACTTTACAAAACAAAAAACCCAGTCACCCAAGTAAGTTACAAGAAGAAAACAAGCAAGGAGTTAAAGGGACTGAATTATAAATCAATGGGAAGAGACTTAATTACCAACCAATAGATGAAACTACAAAATAAGAATAATACATATTTGATAATATCAAGAAACAATTACATGCATAGGTATAATAACGGTATTATTTATGGCAAAAAGGGAAAGACTATCTTTAGGAAGGCCATGACAAAAATATGAAGAAGATGGAAAAAGGAATGGATTGACACAGGAATGAAAAATGGCCATGTGTTCTTACTTTCTGAGGCTGAGTGGTCAGAACATACATATTTATTATTCTTCTTACTTTTGTAAACATTGAAAACTCTTGCAAGGGAATATAGTTCAATGGTAGAGCACTTGCTTTAGCATGTATGAGGCCCTGGGTTTGGTCCCCAGTGCTGAAAATCCAAGATAAAAATAAAACACTAAAAAAATCTAAAATTTTTCTTTTAGAAACAAAATATATGCAGAAATTAAGCTGTGTCACAACAGATTAAAAATAAAATTCCATGCATATGCAGACTGTAGTTTTAAATGCTTATATACTGTCATGATACACAGAACACGTGTTTACTTTTAAAAAAATCAAACTTCTGAGCACAGTTCAGTAAGGACCCAGAGAGCTATGCAGCAGAAATTAAATTATAAAATAGATTATAAATTATAAAATTAGATTTAAAAATAGAGTCAGATGTCTGAGTCAAAATGCTAAGGGTACAAGAAGAAAAGACAGTCAGTGTGCATACCAAGCCACTTACAAACTGTGCATGAACCCTGAGTCACATCATAGGAAACCTGAGCTAAACACTAAGTTCACAACATTGCTTTGGTAACGTCTAAGACTACATACCTACCTTCTAATCTAAATAAAACCCTGTTTTATTCATCTAAACATTAACTCATTTATTGAAAAAGTCACCAACACATTTCTCAAAGAGGAAGGAATGAACTGTGAGAGATCAGTGTGTTACTGAGTGAATACTACCATGAAATGTAATCAAGGGGGTAGGGGAGACGAGAAGAAAGGCATAGTCAACACCCAGATAAGGAAACCTTGAAGTGCTGGTTTTCCAAGAGAGCTGCACCTTACCCAATAACATCAACCACCTTCCAGAGGTCACGGTCAAACAGCATAGAAGAAGAAATCGGCTCCCAGAGATTATCACTTGCTATGATTTTCACTCGTTGCAGACCATGGTAGTCCAGCATTTTTCTTAATTCCTTTGGAGAAATAAATAGGACATAGCAAAGGTTAATAAGCTTTTAGCTGTTAGACTATGACCAAAATAGCCAGAGAATCTTTGGAAAATTCTGCATTCTGATGACTGTCAAAACCTAGTCTAGTCTTTATGGACTTACTCTTGAACAATAATCAGGAAATGTGTATATATTTTTATATGCAGTGCAATTGAAAACATTTTTAAATGCACGTAATCTGTAAGCTCTGATTTACAAATCAGTTTCTGTCTGATATGATTACAGCACTCTGTACAGAATTACGTGCATTTTATCCTATCTCAAATGTTATCTTTATTGAGCGGTCCCTCCCTCCCAAAATCTTCATCTATTTTATCTGTTGATGGGAAAAGAAGGAAAGAAGGTCTGAAAGGCCCAGAGGCTTACACACCCACATCTGTCCATCACTCTCAGACACTAACACCGTGAACACAAACTACCAGGAAACCAGAGTCAATCATGAATATAACTGCCCTGCAAACATAATCCTAAAATAAGTGATACAGAGCACATAAATAACTGTATCATATATATTTTATTCTTAAAAACAAATTCCTCTTTTCTCCAGAAGTCATCTTACCACACAATAAGGACCATGTATTCATTAAAGCCATGTGAACTGAACATCTCCCTATATTCATTTGTCACTATTTAACTCTGATATAAAAATATATAAATTAAACACTTCTACATCCAGAGAGATTAGTGTAAGAAAACTCAAGGTCAGAAGAAAATTAAATGAAGTCTGAATTCAAAACAATAATAGTGAATCTTAGAGCAATAATTAAATTACTAACTTAAAAGAAAATGGAAACCCAATGTTAATAATTCTAACATTCCGGCTGGGCAGTGGTGGCACATGCCTTTAATCCCAGTACTCAGGAGGCAGAGGCAGGTGGATTTCTGTGAGTTCAAGGTTAACCTGTCTACAAGAGTTAGTTCCAGAACAGGCTCCAAAATTACAGAGAAACCCTGTCTCAAAAAACAAAGACAAAACAAAAATTCTAACATTCCTAGAAATGAAACAAACACTATTTTTACTATGCTAGGAGTGCACTGCCTTCAGCATCCGTCCCTGCATCTTTCTGACTCACAGCCTTCCACCAACAATCCTGTGCTTCAGTTTTCTAATAAGCCCACTGTGTCATCTCCCATACCCAACTCACTCCCACACCTCTATGAACAAGATCTAGAAAGAGCAGTAAACGTATCAGAGCTTCAATGATGGGGAGAGGCTGGGAGGTCCAGAGCTAACTGCAATTGTTTAGCACCTTAAATCACTATTGTTTGCACACCTCTGTGTTGGACCTACCATCCCATGACTAACAGAGCACTTGAGGAGATGTATTGCTTAACAGAACCCTAGTTTCTACCAGTCAAGGGGCTCAGGGTATCATCAGATCACATCTGAGGCCTCCAGCTAATCAGTCTGCTTTGCTGTAACTACCTATTGAGTGTGTCCACCAATGGTGTGGGAGAATTGTCTGTATTCTGTCAATCATGTTTTAAATAAACACTGATTGGCCAGGCAGGAAGTATAGGTGGGTCAACCAGACAGGAAGTAGAGGTGGGGCGATGAGAGCAGGAATATTCTGGGAAGCAGGAAGCTCCCTCCGCCATTCCTGCCCAGACCACCAAAGAAGCAACATGTGACCTGACCGCTGGAAAAGGTACTGAGCCACATGGCTAACACAGACAAGAATTATGGGTTGCCGTAAGATGTAAGAATTAGTTAATAAGAAGACTGAGCTAATGGGCCAATCAGTTTATAATCTTATGGAGTCCTGTGTGTGATTTTTCTTTGGGGTTTGCCGGCTGTGAGGTACTGGGCAGGAGATACCCCAACAAGCAGGCCCCTTCATGTTACACACCAATGCATAGGACAAGTGTCTTGTCATATATTTTTCTTTGTTTTGTTGCTATAAAACTGTTTCCATGTTGGAACATAAATTTGGAGGAACCTAAGCCTGTGTCCTAGACCATGGCACATGCATTTGTCTCCAGAAGCATCCACTTCTCTGCTACTGCACTGACATCACCTGCTTACCACCCTATGTCAGGCCTGCAGCCTGGCACTGGCACATAGATGCTCTCGATGGAGCTGCAATGTGGCTGCAATGGATGCTCTCCAAACAATACCCTACCTCCTTGCTGACGACAGAGTTGCTAAAATGTGCCCTCACTTCAGGGACCCCCAGGACCCTACTGCCTGGGCTCAGTGTCAGTCTCGCTCTTTGGTCTGATGCACCTTTTCACAAGGGCTCTTCCTGTCACCTTCAGCTGTGACTTTAATACCATGGGCTGCCTTAGCAACCTGGGGGTTACAACTGTACATCGTCTTTCAACAGACCTTCCTAATCAAGCCAGGAACAAAGTCCATCTCTTCTAATCACTTTCTGAAAAACCAGTTTTTTCACTATTCTTTTAGAAGAATTATGACTAACATTTTTGTCTCTATCCCTTTGCCAGAACTTCTTTTGGGCATTAACAGTATTCTCTATCACCGCATTCCAAACATGCTAACGATGCCTGACATAGTATGCACTGAACAGATATCGGCTGCTTTGCTGACTAAATGAGTAAGGGAAAGAAATCCATTGGAAATGATATGCTTAGAAGCATATGCAATTGATTTGAAGAAAAACGGGGAAAAAAATTAAACAAAATGTCATTACAAAATATTTCTTGGAGAAAAGTGACATAAGACAAGACAAATAGAGATGGAAAGCAAACTAGTGAATGCTAAATATGGAAAGTAAAACTACTGGGCTTTTCCAGTAACAGAAATCATTTCAGTTCTGTTTCCTGAAAACTGGTAATAACAACCACCTCATGGCAGGGACTTGATGGTATGAGAGTGATCCGAGAAAAGTAGTGAAATAAGATTTACAAATACTGGGTACTACTCTCCAGCAATGGCAAACAGAACTGTGTTGTGTGATGTGCTCTGTCTTAGCTAGCTTTAACTGTCAACCTGACACAGGCGAGAGTCGCATGAGAAGGGAGTGTCTATTTGAGGGACTGCCCAGATCAGATGGGACTGCCTTGACTGTTAACTCCTATGGGAAGGTCTAATTCACAGTGGGCAGCACAGTCCCTACACAGATGGCCCTGGCTAGCTAGCATGAAACTGAGAGTGGCTGAGCAACACCATTCCCCTGTGGTTTCTGCTCCAAGCTTCCTAAATTCCTCATTGGCTCAGTGAGGGACTGACTTGGGAATGTAAGTCAAATAAGTCCTTTTCCTCCCCAAAGTTGCTTTTGGCCAGAGGATCTTAGCACAGCCAGAAATGGAACCACAACACACAAGAAAAATATCATGGATATTTGAAAGAAATTCAGAAATACGATAAAAAAATAAAGCTAAATTTCTTGAGTCTTTAAAATCTAAAATAATGTGCTTTTATAACATTTATCAGAATTATAAAGCTAATACATATATATGCACACAATATTTATATTTGTACATATTTTTGCTTGCTTGTTTGTTGAGATATACAATCCAACCTATCTTGAAACTCACTATGTAGACCAGAGTGGGTTCAAAATCACAGAGACCTGCCTTTGCCTTCCAAGTACTGGGATTAAAGGTGTGCCACTACACCTACCTAATGTTTTGCTTCATTTTGTTTTTCCTTTTGGTGCTGAAGGGCTTCAAATAAGCATGACTTCCACTGTAAGCCACAACCTTACCCCAACATTTAACATTCAACCCAATTCTTCCGATAGGTCATTCAGGGCCTATGAAGAATTGCATACAGACTTTTCAATAGCAAGAACATAGACATTAAGAATTTAATTTTTTATCACATTTAGTAAATTAATTATGCTATCAAAAAACAATGTTTCAAATCTGTCTTCCAAACTTCTGTGTATAAAAGTATAAGAAAAAAAGAGATTATATAGTTTTACAGACCTTTATATAGTTGGCATCAAATGGCCTTTCATTCCAAATCTGCAAAACAAAAATCCAAAATTTTTCAATTGAAAATATTTAAATATCTGAAAATGAACCTTATCATTAAAGGGCCATTTTTCATACCATCTTTCATTATATCTGATAAGCTATTTTCCTGTCTTTTGAAAATGCCTGTCATGGAACTTATAAATATGTTTATAAAGCAACATAACTTTTAAAAAATAAAAGTTTTAACAATGGGCCTGGAGAGATGGCTCAGAGGTTAAGAGCACTGGCTTCACTTCCAAAGGTCCTGAGTTCAACTCCTAGCAACCACATGGTGGCTCACAATCATCTGTAATGAAATATGCTGCCCTCTTCTGGCCTGCAGGGACATATGCAGGCAGACCACTGAGTACTTAATAAATAAATCTTTTCTAAAAAAGTTTTAACAAAACTAAAATAGAGAATATTTTTTCAAAGTAATTTATGGGTCTAGAGAGAGAGCGCAATGGTAGCAGCACTTGGTGCTCTTTCAGGGAAGCAGAGTCATCTCCAGTCCCTGTGGTGGCTCACAACAGTCTCTACCACAGTTCCCAGAGAGTCAGCACCCTCTTCTGGCCTACAAGGGCAGTAAGTATATATGTGGTATACAAACACACACACAGGCAAACACTCACATACATAAAATCATTTTTTCAAAGTAAGTCATTTATTCCATATTTGTTTATATACAACAAAGTATATATTCATGCAAAAAAATAGAACTGTAATGTAGACAAAGGGTCCAGTGGGCACTGGAGACTAACAGGTATGAGAATCATTGAAATAACTCTGATATATAAACAGAGTAAAAAGCAAATTATTCACCTAGGGCACTGCATAGAAGGAATTTGTTTACACAGACAAATGTAATGATCAGCAAGAACAGAGGAGCAGACTCTTAATCGGGAAGGGTAAACCGAAACACACTCCACTCTCTGGAGTTCAGAATCAGTAGGGGACGGTTTCAGTTTTGAAAGGGAACTTCTGAGACTTTAGTTTTTAGTCAAGAAAACCATTTGGATTGGTATGTATAATGAAAAAAAAAAAGATTGTTTTCTTTTTTAAAAAAAGTTAAAAAAATAAAGATAAGATAAAATTAAAAAGAGACAAAGAAAACCATTAAAGAGATGACCCTAAAGTCTGGGTGTAATAGAGCAACTCTTATTAAAGAATGTCTACCACAGCACGTGGTTATTAGAGCCATCTGAACAAAATGAGACGTCAGCATCACTCACTGGAAATATTAAGTGAACATGGACACATCAGAAAGATAAAGCTAAGAACTCTATCTGCTTCTAACCACACCACTGGGTTAAATATGCCAACACTAAAAACAATTTCCAGACACAGGCTGTCAGCTATAATCTGGAAAGGGAGAGTAAAAGCGAGCATCCTGTTGTGTCTGCCGTCCTGCGGCCAGGGCTCCTCTTCATGCCTCTATCATCCTACAGGAGGCCTGGGAATCTGCGGCAGTGCCTGCCTCTCACTGACAAGAGCTCATTAATCTGATGTTGCAGAAGTATGACGGGCACAGCTCTGCCACACCGTAGGACCTCAGGAAGTGCTGGCTAATAATCTAAATCGCGAGTATATGAAAACTTCAATATCAGCTTTAGTCAGTGCTGTATTAAAACACAAATGTTAATGGAGACCCACTACAGTTATGCGAGGCATCATAGGGTAGGTATAGTTTCAGGTATATGGTTGACCCCCAACACACAAACTCAGTATGTTTTATACTTTTTGACACATTACAATATGTTATAACACTTTCAGACAGAAGGAAGCAGGTTTTCAACAGCCTGCGGACCCTCACCCATCACCTATGTCTTCAAGGTCTGAGGGTGAAAACAGTTTTCAGTTTGAAATGATTATACTGCAAATGACTATGTGTCTTAATATTGCCTATGATCTACTAGTGCCAACTTAATATCTACACACTAGCTCTTTATAAAAAAAATTCAGCTAATTCCTGGCTTAGAAGATATTCACCAGAATGAGAATAACTTATCACATTATTGCTTAAGAACTAGAAAAGGCTTTGAAGGAGAATTTGAATTGGACTGACACCAAAAAAAAAATTACTAACCACAGTCGATCAGAATGCAGAGTAGTGGAGGCTAGCCCCACTCTACAAAACACTCCCACACTCGCCCACGGCTCAAAAAATATGCCAGTAGAGGAGACAGCAAGACTGCAAGAACCAGAGATGGGGAGTTTGCTGTGAGACATGCCTCCTGGTGACGTCAGAAACAGCTCCCATGATGTCTCCCCAACATGACTGCCCAACTGTGAGCTGAACATGGATACCTACAGACATGCCCAAGTGAATGGGAAATGCCTGTGTGGCCTCAACACCACACAGAGAATTACAGGCAACCAAAGGAGCCTGGGAGGGGGTGAAGTTCCCCAGGAAATTCCACATCAATTGGTTGTCCAATGGCAAATGGAAACACACAAACAAACATACAAGTAACAATATATGGTCTGAATAGGTGATATTTAGGAATATACATGTATACATACACATATATGTATGCAATAACAATTAGAGAAACAAAGAGGCCATGGATTTGAAGGAGAGTGGGGAGGGGTATGTGGTAGGGCATAAAAGAGAGAAATGCAATTATATTATAATCACAAAAATAAAATTAGAAAAAAAAATCCTTCCAATTAAAAATGTTTTACTGTGAAAAAAATTTAAAGAGAGGAAATATTCAGTGCTGTCCAAAGGCAAGAATAATGTGGATTGGCAAAGAATAACAATAAGGGGTCACCTGCAGTTCACTTGCTGTGCTTCAGACAACAAAAGAACAAATCCAACTCGTGGCACAGAAGGGTTAATCAGCAAAGCACCACAGAGTCAAGTGTTAGGTGGGGAGGAAGGGTTGAGTGCAGACAAGGGCACATTCCTTACAAAAGAGGATACAAAGCCATGTTGTTTCAAGTTTCAGCTCCATCGTGGTTTTATTTGGTTTGATTTTCTCAGGTTCGTTATATGAGTTCAACTTTCTGTTTACTGAAGTAACAAGAGCCATTTGTACATTCCCTAAAAAATCCAATATGCATTATTCTTTTTGAGGCAATGATGTAAAAATAGGGATTTCTTTTAACCCCACTGACTAGGAATTAAACAAAACTAGTCCCTGAACATATTTTTCTCATTGATCCATTTTTGAAAGAGTGCTTTTTAAAATCTATTCTGAGTTTTCTAACCTGAAATATTTCCCTTTTTCTTCTTAAAATTATATCAAAGGCTGGAGAGGTGGTTCAGCAGTAAAGAGCACTGGCTGCTCTTCCAGAGGACCCAGGTTCAATTCCCAGCACCCACAACAAGGCTCACAAACACCTGTAATTCCCAGTCCCAGGGAATCGGATGCCTCCTTCTAGCCTCTGGGGACACTACATGCACAGACATACATGCAAGCAACACACCCATACACATAAATAATAATTAAAAATAAAAACTATATTAAGTCATAGTGCAATGCAATATGAAAATTGTATTTCTACACATAAAGTATGGTTATAAATCTTTTGAATGGAATAAAATATGAATCAAATTACTTTTTCTACACATAAAGTATGGTTATAAATCTTTTGAATGGAATAAAATATAAAATTTTAATAAAATTTAAATTTTAATAAAATTTTAATAAAATTTATATTTTAATAAAATATAAAAAATAAAATTACTTTCTAAAATTTCTAAAACGCACATCCAAAAATAAATTCAATTTCCAATATGTTACTAACCCCAATATAATCAATATCCAGGTCATGATAATGCTTGGCACCCAAAATCCATTTTACGATATAGTAGGCAGTCAGTGGAAGATTTACATAAGGCCAACTGAAACCTTTGCCCAGCCATCCAGGAAATGACCACGGCAACCCTGCAGGGAGAAGAAAGGCAAACGTGGAATATGTGAAACAATGCTGGCACTACCAGGAACAAGATGAGCAAACCTAAATTGGGCATTATATAAATATATAAATGTCAGGAACTCGAGAGGAAAGGCCGCTGTGAAGGGAGTGCATTCTTCCTGTGACTCTTTTGACTGTGAAGTCAGAAAAGGGAACAGAAAGCCACTTCAACTGTGATATTTTCAAATAAGTTCATTTCCAATTGAATATATTACCATCTAGTTCACTGCTAAAAACAAAATCAGAATCAATATGATGCAATTTTTCCTAAGCTAATTTCACTACGTAAAAAGTATGACATTAAAACAATAGACCATTTAAAAACAACAGAAAGCTGGGCACAGTGAAGATCCACCACGTGAGTCTTTTGCTGGGCTGTGGTTTAACAGAAAAATACCCACACCTAAATGAGGTCTGACCTTGACAGCACAGCAGGGAACATGTGATCAATTCAAAGATGCTTACACTCTTCCAAAAACAATGAAGAGAAGACACTCTTCATTGATTCTTTAATTTGGAAAATAATATTCTTTCCTTTAACTATCAAGGGGATTGATTTTTGTAATTAGTAATTTTGAAAGAAGGCATTTAAAATAATTTTATTTAGCTCAGCTTGAATGTATGTCTGCTTCAAAAGAGCAAGGGATAAAGTGACAGAGTTCATTTCAGATGATAAAAGTCCGAAGCTCTGGCTGTTTAAAGCAGTCATGCTGCTACAGAATGTGAAATGAATATGGTCCATCTTGAGCAACTACCCAGTGAGTCTACTGCTAACAGCTAAGCTCTATGTGGGCAGGGCATTTTTTTAATTAGTGACTGATGGTCTAGAGCCCAGTCATTGTGAGCAGTGCCATCCCCGGCTGGTGGTCTTGGGTTCTAAAGGAAAGCAGCCTGAGCAAGTTCTGTTGAGCAAGTCAGTAAAAAGCTCCATGGCCTCAGGGTCAGCTCCTGCCTCCAGGATCCTGCCGTGTCTGGGTTCCTATCCTTACTTCCTTCGATGATGAACAGTGATCTGGAAGTGTAAGCAAAAAGGAAAAAATCCTTTGTCCCCAGCTTGCTCTGAGGTCATGGTTTTCAGCACAGCAACAGATACCAAGACTTAGCAATAACAAACCAGGCACAATAAAGGCAGCCTGTAACCCTAGCACTTCAGAGACAGGAGGACGAGTGAGAGGCCAGTCTGGGCTACAGAGCAAGTTCCAGGCTACCCTGAGTCACAAACTGAGATCCTGTCTCAAAACTCAATCAATCAATCAAATGTATGAATATAAAAGAATAAAATTATAAATTATAATGCATAAAGATACAATATAATAAACAGTGACCATGAAGATCAGTCCTGGTACATGTTTTGTAGCTGATAGTGGGGAGAGGGGCATCACAAGCATGATTCTTAATATAAAAGTTAAAGAGACCCCCAAGCACTGTAACCTTACCCATTAGTATAATATTAGGGTTCCTCTTCTTCGCTTCCTTCATCAACCACCACTCATAGCCTCGGAAATAATTCTCATCTAGTTCATAGTGCATGTGGGATGGTTCGGTGCCATCTGAACAGGAAGAGAGCAAAAGGAAGGACATGACCCATGAACGGTGCTGTCTAGAGTCATTCAAGTTCTATCTATCTATCTATCTATCTATCTATCTATCTATCTATCTATCT